ACATAGTTGTTTACATGTTGTTCTTCCCCTCCCCCCATTAGACTGTGAGCTCCTTGAGGGCAGCCACTGTCTCTTGCCTTTCTTTGTATCCCCAGATTTAGCAGTGACTGGTCCCTAGCCGGCATTTAATAAATGCTCACTGAATTGACTTGAAGACCCATAGCCTCTCCCTACCTAAGTATGTTGTCTTCATGAATTGCTATACCAAGAAAATAAAAAAATAAAAATCACCCGGTGAGCTTCTCTGAACTTGGCCAATCTACTTCTGGGAAGATACACAGAGTCAAATCACTGGGCCTATATTTGGAGTCTTTCCAGCTTGGAAGGTCCTGCCTGAGCTTGTGATCTGCTGGCACAGCCTTTGAGAATTGAGGGTCACTTCCATGCCCCAATGATGAGACATGTGAGAGGGACTTGAATGGAAGAAGCTCTTGTTCTTGTTGTTGTTGATGTATGTGTATGTATGTGTGTGTGTGTGTGTGTGTGCTGAACATCCTTGATCTATAAGTGATGACAGTATCTGCTTCCTCACATCGTATCTTAACAACCTTAAAGTATAACAGACTGACTATCCACATACCCCTGCAGTCTGTGATTCCACAACCGCCTTAACTATTTCTCTCCCATTCCCACAGATGCTAGTGGTCAAAGGGTAAGACAGGGGTGGGGAACGTGTGGCCTCAGGCCTTCTAAATCCTTAAGTGTGTCCTTTGACTGAACCCAAATTTTACAAATTTTTTGTTCTATAAAATTTAGATTCAGCCAAAAGGCCGCACTTAAGGATTAAGAAAGCTACACGTGGCTTTAAGGCGGCAGGTTCCCCACCCCTGGGATAAGACTATTTTATGAAGCAGAAGATTTGCAAGCCCTATCAGCTGGTGAGAAGCAATAACTATGTCCGGTAACACTTACTACAATCTGGAATAATCAGAAAGTGACACACCAGATCTCCCTCTCTGAGAAATGCTCAACTTGACTCATCTCATTTCTGTCCTGACCACTGCAAACTACTCAATCCTCCCACTGCCTGAATCATTCCTGAAATATACCGTCCTAACATGAAGTAAACTCTCAAGGTTAAGGGGTGATAATATTTAAATAAAGATGATTTGTTAATAACTTAAGATTATTTAAGCCTAGGTATCAACCTGTAACAGCCCAAGGCCACAGCTTGATCAATATGGTGACTATTTAGGCTATTAATTTCTATGCTCTTAAACATATCTTCCTGCTTCCTTCCTCCATACCTAGAACAGTGCAGACTATCAGTTCTAAGTAACCATGTTTGCCATTAAAAGCTAATGATGTAATTAAGAATTAAGTGCTGGTTCTAGACCTTAAATGTGATTGACAGATTAACACAGTGCCACACGACAAATCTACTACAGAAATTAAAGTACAAGCTACTAAGAGGCAAAACTGTGATGTAGTTATGAAGGGACAATAGATGCAGGCCAGGAGACCAGGCATTCTATTTGCTCTTCCCCACTCACCAATATTCATTTCCCATCCCTTTGCCTTTGCACAGGCAGTTCACCCTGCCTGCTTTCCTTCATGCAAACCACCCCTTTGAAATCTCTCAAGACTGAGTTAAAGGACCACCTCCTAAAACAGGCTTTCCTGATTCTAGTTATTAGTAAACATCTCCTCCTCTCCAAACATTTTTTGTTTTGCATTTATTTTGAAAATATTGTTTATTTATCTGTGTACATGTTATTTTCTTCCAGCAGAATATAACCCCCTTGAGGTTTTCTTTCTGCCTCTAAATCCCTAGCACCTCGCACAGTATCTGACATAGAGATTCTTAATAAATGGTTATTAAACTGAATAGAATATTTTAAAAAGGGGGAGTATTATGGGAAGGTGACTGACTCATTGAGACAGACACTCAAAAGACAGGGAGAGAGGAAAACACAATCACACACAGAGTTTGGAACCCTGGCCAAGGAGCAAAAACCAACTTGAACACTTCAAGGCATCAAAATAGTTAACAACTGCTCATATTTCTATGGCTTTCCAAAAGTTTTCAATACATGTTCCTCCCAACAGCCCTGTTAATCAGGATTATGAGTTTTATTATCTTTGTTTTCTGTGTCAGGAAACTGAGTTTCTGAGAAGGAAGGTGACTGGTCCATGGTCAGACAGTTATTATGTGTCTGAGGCCAGACTGAACCCCAGGGCTCCTGACTCCAAGTCCAAAATTCTATCCATGAAAACCATCACATCCCTACACCTGAACTGGCTCACCCTAGGTTATCTCCAGGGAACTATCCTCAGGGGAGCCAGGCCTTTAGTACCTCACTGGGGCAACCCAGAAAGTAGTTCTTTGACACCTAAACACAACAGGGATGTCATGGTATATTTGGGTGAGGGACTGCAATTGTTCAAAATGAGTTTTCCACCTGATTCATTTCCATGTTGGAGGTGCTTCCTTTTTTAAGACACTGCCTCTCTAGACAAAGACTTCAGACCACCATCACCTCTACTGTCTTATCCTAGAGTTTCCTTTGCCTTATTCTGTCACTCAGATAAAGAACTGGATGTTCTAAATGTGCTGATATTCCTACTCTAGACTGGCCAAGATAGGAGAGTGAACACTTCAGTGAATCAGCACCCAGTGACACTCATCAAGAATAATTCGTCAGGGGCAGCTAGGTGGTGCAGTGGATAGAACACCTGCCCTGGAGTCAGGAGGACCTGAGTTCAAATCCGGCCTCAGACACTTGACACTTACTAGCTGTGTGATCCTAGGCAAGTCACTTAACCCCATTGTCTAGCAAAAAACAGAACAAAAAAAAGAATAATTTGTTAGCTAATTGAAGACCTAATGCTTTGATAACAAAGGTAGAACCTCTGACTTAAAGCAAAATTGATTAAATTTCAGTTATAAGAGTATACGAAGAATTCTAAATGATTAGTTTGATAACTATTGTTGCCTTCTAGCCAAAGATTGGTATGTCTAACCCCGGATAGCATTTAAAAAATCCCTATTATCTCAAAGTGAATTATCCAAAATTGATTACATACATAAATCACAGAATTCCATAAATTTAGAAGTAGAAAGGAAATTAGAGACTATCTTTGTAAATAAATCCAAAAGAAGTTTATTAGCTCCAATAACCAGTTTGCCTTCGATCCACATGATACCATCACAGACAGTTTCAAAAATTCCAAAGGGTTGTGCCAATGGCAAAGAAAGAGAGTTTAGAAAAGTCAAATCTACAGATGATGGAAAAATGATAAACCTGGAGAGACAGCATGGATAGAAAACAGAAAGCCAGACAGAGTCAGAATGACCTGAACTGAACGAAGTCCCATCTCTGCCACATACTTACTGGCTGTGTGACCCAGAGCAAGTCATTTTTAAAAGTTTCCTAGGGTCCTGCAAGATTAAGACAAAAAGTCACAAAGTAACTGTTGATTTGATTGGTAGAAAGTGCCCTCACTAGGGAATTTCCTACACTAAAAAATTACAGATCCCAACCCATCGGCCCAAAGTCCCAACACAAAAACCAAACATTCATTTAAACACTCATTTCAACATTATCTCCTCTTAAAGCTTTCTTCCATCAGAACAGGCTTCACTTCTTCCTCTTCCATATCTCCCAAGCCCCACCATCTCCACCCCTGCCTCTGACAAAAGTACAAATAAGTGATGGTCAAAGGGAGGAAAACCAGAAGGGGCCTTTGATAATGAAAGCTGATTAATAAATAAGTTGACTGACAAATGAAAGTTAAAGCAATGTTGTTTGTTTGTTTGTTTGTTTGTTGGGGGTGTGGTAAGTCTCAAATCACCACTCCTTTCTAGCAGTTTCTGTATCTGCAAAACTCAAGCAACTTAGCAACCAGAGGCCAAATAAACTAGTCATGTTCCCAAAGTCATCTCTTTTTCAGAACCCTGAACTAAGCATCGTTCCTATCCAGGACCCACAACTCTGGATGCAAACCTGTGAGCCACCCTCCCCAACCCACATACTGCTCCAAATTCTCCATGTTATTCACACATCCTTCAAGACTTGGTTCTGTTTGACACTAATGTAACTAATGGCAAATTTCATTTGAGCACAGGAGCAGATTCTGCAAAACTTCATAAAACGAAATCATCCTTTTCTCTTAGCCAAGGGGTTGCAGGGCAGGGAAAAGCCGGGACTAAGTCCTTGTCCCATTTCTGGATTCCAAAGCCCGGATTCCCTGGTCGACAAACACCTGGAAGAGGCTGCAGAAGTTGTTCGTATCTTTCTGAGGAGATAATCTTTTTAAAAAAGAATCCAGCCCAAGTCTCCTGGCCTGCTTACCCAGTCATCCAGTTCCCTGACATACGTTCCTTCCTGATTCATGCCTAAGTCTTTCCATTTTGCTTTTTTGTTTTTTCTCCTTTGCTTCTCTGCTTTACTGGTTTTCTGCAACATCACAGATTGCATTTTGGGGACTTGAGCCCCAGTGTGCTATGATGTTGTCATAAACAACCAGGACCAAATGCCTACCCATAATATTAGATGATGCCATTTCCCACCAATCAGGTCTTGCAGGCAGGGAGACCACTCACCAATGAGGGACAAGGCGCTGGAAGGGAGAGAGACCTGGTCATCTGGAACTAAAAATAAGACCGCCTCACAATTGGCCCAGGCTACTTTGCAACAGGAGTTGGGACAGACATATACACACACCATAGGCACACAAGTAAAAGCAGTACACAGGCAAAAAACTTTCACATATGAAAGGAAGTCCATTTTTGTTGCCTTGCTGTTCTGCCCTTTAAAAAAAATTAATTTCCTGCCATTTGCTGACTTGATAAAATAAAAATAAAATAACATAAAATAAAAAACTGTACCAGAGATGATCACTCCCCCACTTCTCCCCTTTGAGACAACTACCCCACCCCGTTCTCATTTTTAAAAGATCGTGTAAAAAGACTATCATAAGGGGTCCAGGACTGGAGGTGAACACTGGGGAAGGAAACCATCCCCCACTGGAGCTTATGGGTCCTTAGGGCCACTCACCTGACCAGCAGTGTCGTACAGTCCCAAGAGATACTGCTTCCCACCCACGGTCACGCTGACTGCAAAGGGATAAATGGGGAGGAGGGAGTTGGGAAATGGGGGAAAGGGGAAAAGAAGGGGAGGAAGAAACACAAAATGACCCAAGTCGTATCACTTGCCTTTTCCCAGTAAGCCTTCTCCCAACCTGAAGGGGTTTGTTGGACAGGGAGGGGAACTACTTAAAAGCTATTACCCTATCTATCCCCCACCCCTAGCATCTGAAAAGTAGGGAGAAATTGAGGCATGCTGTCCCCAACTGCCCAGCAATGACAGCACCTTCGTTCCTTCCCCCCTCCCAACAAGTACCACTTCCTTGACCCCTTCTCTTTCATCTGAGGCCAAGGGAACTGGGGGCAGAGTCGGAGGGGGCTGCCTGGCACCAAACAGAAGGTCAAGCTAGTTGGACTGGTTGGGGAAAGACTTGGGAGAAGTGGCAGAGGATGTCAACTTCGAGTTTGGAGAAGATGGGAGCTCTGGTTAAGATGAAAGGTTTCTGGGGTGCCTAAGTGCCTTAAGGACGTGAAGGACTCCGGGGAAAGGACGCAGGTGCCAAGAAAGGAGTTAAGAGTTGGAAGCGGGAGTAGGGCGGGGGGGGGGGGGGGGGGGGGGGGGGGGGCAGGACTCAAGGGGAGATGAAGAGGGGCTGGCCAGCCTAGGAGGGGAGCTTCCAAAGTTGTGCCAAAGTTGTCACTGCCCAAGAGAGTGGGCTGGGGGTGGCGGCCCCTTAGTCAGCAGTTCCGGCTACCGGGCCACCAGGCTCTCACCTGCATAATGGTCAAAGACAGTGGGGACGTACTCCTCGGGGAAGGCGTCGTTGGCGTAGCTCATGAGCAGGCACGTCTTGCCCACCGCCCCGTCGCCGACCACCACGCACTTCAGCATCAGCGCGCCGGGCCCGTGAGCCATGCTGCGCCCGGCCGGCCTCCGGGCATGGTCCCCCCGGAGCCCCCGCCCCGGCCCCCGGCTCAGCCCCAGCCCGCCTGGGGGCTCAGCCGCCGCCTCCTCGGCTCAGCACTGCAAGGGGAGCACCCCCGCCCCATGCAGCGGCTTCCCCCCACCCCCGGGGAGGGGGCGGCGGGCCCGGGGCGCTGCTGCCGCTGCCGCTCCTGTCTCCACCCCCTCCTCCTTCTCCGGCGCCGCCGCTGCCGCTGCGCCCCCTGCCCCTCTAGCTCAGCGCCTTCACCCTCTACCGAGGATACAATGTATCATAAGACAGTTAGGTCCCCCGGGCAAACAGCAACTTTGGGGAGGGGAGGGGGCGGAGGAGGAGGAGGCCGCTCTCCCCGCCCCCCAAACCCCTGCCCCCACCCCTCTGGGCTCGGCCGCGGGAGGGAGGGGGAGCGGTGGGCGGTATAGAGAGGGAGAGGCCCTCCCAATAAGTGCGCTACCACTTTACTTTGGGGCCCTCCTCTCCCTCTTCTCTCTGCCGCTGTCGCCTTTCTCACTCTATCTCTCCTCCCCAATCTCTTTTTCTTTTCCTCCCTCCTTCCCTCGCCCCCTCCCGAACCGGAGCTCCAGTCCTGCAAGCTCACCCTAGCTTGGCTCCCTGAAAGGGGAGGAGTGGGGGGGGGGGGGGGCGAAGGGGGGGGGGGGCCGGGGGGGAGGGAGGGGTGGGAGAAGTGAAGGAAGGGAGGATGGGGGGGGGAAGAGAATAGCTGTGGAGCAGCCGAGGGCTCCTCGTGAAAGAGCCCGCTGCTCCCAGAAGCGTCCAAGGGTGTATCATGCCTCCGACGGGAGTCTTTTAGCAACCAGGACGACACAGTAATAATTTGGGGGAGCAGGAGATGGAAGGGGGAACCTAATAATTTTTTAAAATGGACTTAGGAGGTGGAATCTGTTTTATGCATCCTAGAACATACTTCGAGATTTGAAAGCAGGAAGAAAAAGAGGTTAGGCCAGCAGTTTAAAAGCCTGAGCTGAAAGACAAGGACTCTCCTTGGTTTTATGGTTCCGCCCCTAACCCCCCCCCCCCCCCCCGCCACACACATACTTTCACTGCACCAGTAGGAATCTTTTGCAACGTAATAGGTGACCAAGGGGGAGTTTACAGAGCCTCCTTTCAACAACAAAAACAAAAGCTATAAAAACAAATAGGAGACCAAGACCCTCATTTGGTCTTAAATGCCACAAGTTACTATATGCCTGAAGGCAGGGGAATGGATGGAATAACCTATCATGGACCCCTTCTGGTTTCAAGGGTCCATCAAAGGTAATCTTTCATGCAGGTTTTACATGATGTCACTCCCCTCTTCAATAACGCATTGGATTGTAATTGAGTTCACATTTTCTGAACCTCTGTTTCCTGTCCACGATGGGGCTTGATGGCTTGGGTCTTGCTGGCTAGTCATTTCCTCTTTTCTCAGAACATGTTTTAGGAGAAACAGATAACAAGCATTATTATGAACACTGGGCCTGAGGGAAGTGACCATGTCTGTCCCCTGCACGGTCCCAAGGTGCTGAAATGAGTTCAACTTTATCTGTTCATTTATTTGCCCACTCATGCATCATGGCCATGGCTTCACCTAGGTTCTGAAGAGTTGTTGAGGTGTGATGTCTGCCGTGAATGGGCAATCTGGACTTTTGGGCAGTGAGGGTGATTGAATCCTGGATGGAAGAGGGTGAAGGAAGGGGTAAAATCTCAGCTCATCTATTCATTCAGTCATTCAACAAGTGTTTATAAAGCTCTACTAGATATAAACCACAATTCTAGATACCAAAGGGCAACTAGGTGGCACAATGGATAGAGAACTGCATCTGGAATCAGGAAGACACATCTTCCTGAGTCCAAATCTGGCCTCATGCATTTACTGTGTGACCCTGGGCAAGTCACTTAACCCTATTTGCCTCAGTTTCCTCATCTGCAAATGAGCTGGAGAAGACAATGGCAAACCATCAGTATCTTTGCCAAGAAAACCCCAAAATGAGGTCATGAAGAATTGGGCACAACTGAACAACAACTAAGTACTGGGAAGAAAAGGAAGGTTAAGGTTTTGAGGAGTCCCAAAGATAGATAGGAACAGGAAGAACACATGGACCTCAAGGTGCCGATACCCTAGTTCGTCAGCTCATACAATCACAAATGTAGACTGGGAAGAGACCCTAGAAATAACAAAGTCCAACTGCCTCTTTTTAACAGATTTGGAAACTGAGGGTGAGGAAGCTTAACTTGCCTAAGGTTATACAGCTGGCAATCATCAGAGCTAGAATCTGAAACCTGACTCTGCCAGGTTCCCAATCCCAAGACACACATAAAAAGTTAATAATACTAGTCAAATAGCAATGTAAAATGGCTCCAGAAGATGTGTCACAAAGAAGCATATGATTAAGTGCCAAATGAACAGTCTAGACAGTAAGTATGAACTCAGAGTGAGGAGAGCTCATTCTGGTTTGCCGGGGTCAGGGAAGGTTCCAAGGGACCTGAATGGGGTTTAGGAGGAAGGCAGGATTGGAATAGCTAGAGATGAGGCTGAGTATTGTCAGAAGATAGTTTGTAGGCCCTCCTGGCTACAATGTTATCATTCTTATTTACTGAGTGCCCTTACCTTGAAAGACAGGGTTGGTGATTTAGACACAGTCCCTGAATCGTGGAACTTAGAGTCTAATTAGGAGATAGAATGAGGCATACAAAAGGTACAGGAGATAGTTGATATGTACAAGGCAGCATAGAAATTCATTGTCCATAACAAGGCAACAGGCAATTGCCCTGGGAAGGGGTAATGTACTGGTCAAATTGGATGTGAATAAATCCAGGAAGATAGAATTAATCCAGGTAGGTTCCCTGGGGAGGTTGGACTCTGAGGTGGATATTCAGGGTTGGAATACAGGCACAAAATAGAGGAAAGCGAACAGTGGAGGGGAGAGGGTGGAGGAGAGATAAAAGAGAGGAAAGGCCATCAGGAGGGGCTAAGGAGAAATAAGTGCTGGGAAAAGGGAGCTGTCAAGCTCCTTAAAACGGAGCAAGTGTATGAAGGAGTTACCAGAGATAAGGGGAGATCTTTAGGAAGAGCAGAAAAGACTTGCAACTGTTACTGAAGACTAGAGACAGAGACCTGACTAGAGCCAGGAAAGGATGAGATAGCTTCTTAAGAGTCTGCGATCCCATTTCCCAAGCTCGATTTTTTCCTAAAGAAGAGATGTATCCCCTAAATGACACTTTCCCATCGGAAACAAGGGGGTGAGGATAAGGACTTTGGTGTGTAGTTCCTTGTTCTCTTAGAAAGAGCAGCCGTGGAATTCTGGAGTGAAGAATGCACCTGGGAAAGGTTCTGGTAATGTCAGAGAATTCAAGCAGGGAACTGATATCAGATGAATGATGCAGCTGATGATTTCGCTGGTAAAGATGACCTCATTGCTTTGGCTCACGGAAACGCCTGCATTGATTGCCAGGAATACATAGGGTTTGGGGATCCATCTTATACAGTGAGGGGTTAATCTCTTGATACCTAGAACCCCAGGGCCTGCAAAGTTAGACACCACTTGTCTCCGGTAACTGTGCAAATGTAGTCGTGCACACAGAACTAACTACACAGAAGCTTGATTTGTCTCAGTCTCTGGCTCCAAACTAGAAAGTGTCCTATGGAGAACATAGTTCTCAAATATGAAGAGTGAGAAATAACTTTGTTTCTGTGAGATAACTTTATTTCTGACAACCTAATATGATTTTTTTTTTTGCCAGCCTACTATCGACAATCCCCCACCCATCCAAGTACTTCACTTTAACAACAAATGAGATTAATTACCAAAATGAATGGGTCTCCCTCCTCTCCCTGCCCCCCCCCCCAGTCTTCATCATTTTCTACCTGTCTGCTGCATGGAAACTAGTGACCAGCATCTCCTGGATACTGTCTCCTCTCTGGGTGTTTGTGACACTACTGTCTCTTTCTCCTCTTTCTCCCTTCTCTGGTTCATAGTCTGTTCATAATCCTCATTAGACCCCACCTCCACCCCCAAGTATGGATGTTCCCCAAGGCACTGTCCTAAACCCCCTACTCCTCACTTTATACTCTCTAGATGTCCTCATTTGTTTCCATGGGTTTAATGATCATCCCCAAGCAGGTGACATACAAAGACAGAGACAGAGAGAGAGAGAGACAGAAAGAGAGGTATGTATGTTTGTATATACACATATACAAATATCTATACATACATACATAAAAGCTAATAATAATAGCTAATAGTCATATATTGCTTACTATATGCTAAGTACTGTGCTAAGTACTTTATAATTATTATCTCATTTGATTTTTACAACAACCCTGGGGATAAGTACTATTATTATCCCCATTTTACAAATGAAAAAGCTAAGACAAACAGGTTAAATGACTTGTCCAGGGTCACACAGCATATACTACATCTAAAGCTTTAAACTGCACTGAGATTTTTGGGACACCCTGTATATACACATATGTACGTTTGCATGTAGGCATATGTGTGTGTATATCTCCAACTCCAGTCTTCCTTGAACTTCAATCCTTCATCACCTGTTGTCTATTGGGTATCTCAAGCTAGATGTCCTGAAGACATCTCAAAATCAACACGTCCAAAACTGAAGTATGATTTTCCCCTCCAAATCCAGTTCTCTTCCAGACTTCCCTATTTCTGCTAAAGGTACCATCATTCTTGGTATTATCTTAGACCCTTCATGCTCTCTCAAGTCACATATTCCATCAGTTGCCAGATCTTGCTGTTCTGACCCCTACAACACTTCTCACATCTTGACCCTTTTTTTTCTATTCACTCAGCTACCAGCTTGGTTCAGGACCCCATCAACTCTCATCTAAACTCTTGTAACAGCCCTAGTTGGTCTCCCTACATCAGGTGTCTTCCCACTCCAATCCATCCTACACACTACTGGGGCAGGATAGGGGCAAGGAAGAGAAAGAAATAATCATTTATGTAGCACCTACTATGTT